TAACCACTATTTCTTATCCTACAATATTTTTTCTAGTTAAAAAATCATCACTGTATAAAACAAACAAACAAACAAACAAACAAACAAACAAACAAACAAACAAACAAACAAACAAACAAACAAACACAAACAAACAAACAGCTTTTGTTTTTTAACTATAAGTTTATGTATTGTAGGGCTGAGACTTAAACACATTATTTACAAATAATTAAATATAGAAAATATTTATTACATAATAAAAAAACAGATTATTTTTCCCCACACATTTCTGGCATGTTTTATTTTGAAAAGCCAGACCAGAAGTTGCGTTTCCGTTCAGTGCGGTTACCTTTACGCACAGCCATCGATAAGCCAGTCGGATCCTCTCCCGTCCAGTAACTTCGCCCCCCTCTCCCCCCCTTCTCCCTCCGCCTCAGTTTCTCCTACCTTTGGCACCACCACCTGGGGGGGTCCCGCCGGATCGCTCGCCCGACAGAGGAGCGCCATGACCCGCGTGGTGGTTCAAGGGATGCCGGAGACGGCCGCCGGAGGAGGAGAGATGCTGACCCGGCGGAGGAGCAAAGGCAGGCGGAGGAAGCGCACGGAGTTGTACGGCATCCAGATGTGCTTCGCCGGCGTGCTGCTCGGGCTGGTCGTGGGGCTTCGCTCAGTGGTCCAGAGAGCAGGTGAGGACCACTCTCTTGAAGCCCAGCTTTAGGCTCGTGTCCGTGTTCCTGTTTGAGGGGAACACGGTGTTCGGATGGAGTTTGTGGCGAGCCGGCACATCAGGCTGAGAAGAGAACATTAGATTTTCTTTAAAACTGCCCCCCTCCCCCAAATAAACTTCAAACAGTTACAGAAAATCCTGATATAAAAATGAAACATCTTGTTTTTTTCACTGGAGGTGTTCTAAACAGCACTGGTTATATAAATGTTGCAGCTTAGATCCAAACTCAGTGTAGATGTGAGGGATGTGTTTGGTTCAGCTCTGAGAGCAAAACAACAACAAAATGCCTTCAACATCTGTAACTAATGAACCTCCTGGAAATGGCAGGAGTGTGTGAGCTGCCTGGTGTGTGTTGACTGAATTATTCCACAGAAATCCACAGCAGGCTTTACTACCTGATGTCTGTCATCACAGCAGGCTGAAAATAAATAAATAAAATAAAATAAAAATAAAAAAGAGCAGTGCCAGTTTTGACAGCTGTCATTTTTGGGCATATGCTTTTGACTGGAGAATGCAAATATGCTAATATTGTTTTAGTCAAATAAAATATAAAGTTAAGGATTATTAATCTTATGTAAGGTTTGAATGCTCAGCACACAGAAACAGATTCAGTGCTATCATGATTTTATTGATATGGACATTTATCTCTATCATAAATCAATATACTTAAAATTCTGATGAACAGTAAGTCCGATGTTACTGAACATGATCTTTAAAAGAATTTGCATGGTGTTCTTGATTAAACTAAAAGATGTAAAGTTTGGAAATTAAAAAAATCACAATATACTGTATATATTATAGTATGACCTCAAATTCATATCACGGTATAAATTGGATCCCTTCACAGTAACGGTATACTGTATATCGCGGTAGAAAATTATCATAAAAAGCAAAGATAATATAATTTTTAGAGCATTTGTTTTGCACAAAACTTTAATCTTAATCAAAGCCAGTATTTTTGCTGTAGTGTAAATGAACATAACAGTGTATGAAACAGTATTATTAATGTAAAACTGTTTCAACAACAAACAAAAACATTTTTCTAATTTTCAACAATATCATTATAAAGTCGATGTTATAACCAGTACTTCAAGTAAAATTAGTCATTTAGACATAAAAAAAATTCAGTGTTGCCTAAAATGTTAGTGTGACAGGACCTTAAGGGGCTTAAGCTGCACATAGTCCTGTCATAAAACAATTTCAGATAACTAGAAGTGTTGTGAAGCCAAATAAATGTAATATTGGCCTGCCATACAATGAGCTTCTGCCTGCTGAACTTATCGGCTGCTGCTCTGCTGAGCTCTAATCTTCATCATCAGAGCAGAAGCCGACTTTATGCTACATTAGCAAGATGGATTTATGACTGAAAGAACGTCCACGTCTTATATATATA